CGGCGCGCCCGTCACGGCGTGCCTCGGCTCTCGCTGCTGGAGCCTTCGGCGCCCGCTCGGCCCACCGCGGGCAGGCCCCCTCCCCGCCGCGGCGGCGGCGGCGCGGCCCGCGGAGTGGCGCCGCCGGGAGGGGGCCGCAGTGGCTTCCAGCGGCCGCGCCCGCTGCGCGCTACCGCTGCCGCGCCCGGCGCGGCACCGCCCCTGGCCGCGGCGCTCGGCGATCCGCCCGCGGCAGCGCCGGCGGCCGCGCCTGACCCCAGAGGCGCCGACGGGGCCGCTGCCGTGGAGTGGCACTCCTCGTCCACGTCACTTGCAGACTCCCGAGCCGCCCGAGGCCCCGCGGCCGCCTGGCGCACCCGCGCGAGGGCGGCAGCCGAGGCTCGCGCTCGCCGCGGGCACGTTGCAGCTGCTCAGCGCCGTCTCCCGGGCGGCCCGCTGCCGAGGGGCGCGGCGGGGAGCCCTCCTCCTGCTGCTCCTTCAAGTCCCCTGCGCGCGTGCGCGAGCCGCTTCATCTGCCCGTCTTTTTGCGACCCTTATTTCTTTCCGCCGCCTGGCGATCTCCTCCTTGCCGCCACTTTTCTTCTGCTGCCGGGAGCCTCGCTTGATCAGCTCCCCCGCGACCCTCGGGCTGCCCGGTGCTGCTTGCGCAGCGCTCCCAGCCTGCTCTGTGCGCGGCCTGGTTGTCTCCTGTGAGCTTCTCTGCTTGCCGCCCCTGTTTCTCCGCCTGGAGCCTGCCTTCTGCCCCGCTGCCCTCTGGATGCCCGCTTCTACCTCCGCGGCGCTCTCCTTCCTGCGTAGGGATGTGCTCGCTGCCCACTGCTGTTCGCTCGTCGCCCTCTTTCTGGGTGGGAGCCCTCTGGATGCCCCCTGCTGTCTGAGCGGCGCCCTCCTCGTGCTGCGTGGGAGCCCTCTGGATACCCACCGCTGTCTGCGCGGCACCCTCCTGCGTGGGAGCCCTTTGGATGCCCGCTGCTGTCTGCGCGGCGGCCTTCCTCCTTTTATTATTTGTCTTCCTCTTCGTCTTGTTCGTCATCCTGACTGTGCGATTGACTGTCCCCTTCCCACCAATGCTTCATTGTGAGTCTGGCGATCACCTTCGCCACAAGCTCGGGATCTTCATACTGGGGCGCCAGATAATCCCGCCAGCGCTGCAGCTTCTCGACGGAGATGGACGCTGGCTCCCAGTCACGCACAAACGCCACAGGGAGCTGAGAGTAGACCGTGTCCAGACCAGGCGTACTCTGCACGATTGGGATAGTGCCAGAGGCGATGGGCATGAAAGCCCTTGGGCTGGGGTCAAGGCCACCGCCGTGAGGGCAAAGGACGAAAGAGTGATTCTGCCACCAAACAGCAAACTGATTGCTGAACATCTCGCCTCGAAACTCAGAGAAGTCTCCCCATGAGCCGCCTGGTCTGCAGTTGTTGAGCGCGTTGACCCTGTCGGTGAACTGGCCCGCGGCGGCTTCGTCATGACGCCTGCCATTGCAGCTCACAGCGAGCGGCCTTTGCGACAGAGGCACCAGCCATCCAGCCTTGATTACCGACCACCACTCCTGACTGCAATCCTGATTAGCTTGTCCTGCAATCTCGCAGTTGGGCGTGTAGAATCCAGTCGGAATCCCAGCGAGCTTATCGTGGAATGTAGAATCATCGAAATTCTCTGTCACCCACCGCTCGATCAGACGATCATCCAGCAACCTGGCACAACTCTGCAACGTTTCATGAGTGAGATTCCCAAATCGGCGATCACGCTGATGTGGAATTGTCCTGTCTTGCGACGTGGTGAGGACCACGACCGGCTTATCGATGTAGGGAAACACATCTTTCTTGAGTAAGCGGATCATCTTTCTCAAGTCGAACCTCAAATCCAAGAAAACAGTCCTTGGGGGCGAGCGGACCCTCACGAATTGCAGGGGGAAGCGCGGGCCAGCCATGTTCTCTATAAACAGCCAGTCGCACATAGCGCCTATGGATACCAACGGCTTGTCCGGAAAAGCCGACGTGTCTTGAAACGATAGCCTCGCGTGAAGCAATTGCGGCTCTGGTTTAGGATACATCTCTTCAAGCCACGTCTGCACATGTCGGCGCGGTATGGGATTCGTGATCGGGCTGGTGACTGCCGCAGCCGACCTCGTACACCTGATCGTTAAATTCATACCCCATCCACCCACAGCGTCGTCGGTACGTTTCACGCAAACTCGACTGCCATACGCCACCACATGGAATGTGTCTGTCGACCCGGAGAAATCTCTGTTGAGCCTTAATCCGTGCTGGGCAGCCTCAACGTCACAACTGACTGATGATGTAACGTTTACACACATGTGGTTCTCCCAGCTTGATCCGATGTTGACGACGACTTGGTCGGATGCCATGGCACTGGTGCTGGTCGTGCTGCTGGTAGTGGTGCTGGGCCCTGGGCCCCTCATTGACAGTGTTGCTGGTCGTGCTGCTGGTAGTGATGCTGGTCGTGCTGCTGGTAGTGGTGCTGGTGCTGCTCGCCAGTCGCTCAGCGGTCGTGCCTGCTACTGCGGTAGATGCCGCTGAGATCTGCTCCGTCAGAGCTGGCTCTGTCAAGCGGACTCCGTGCGCCAACCTCCACCCGTCGTTCAGGATAGCATAGGTGGAAACAGAGGTCAAGACCACGCCCACGACGGACAGAAGAGCCACGCACTTTGGCCCAACCATTGCCAATGTCCGATCCATGATCTCCGCGCCACACGGGAAGGAAGTGCTTGAGCCAAAATGGCTGCGGAAGCAATCTCGGGCCCTCTTGGGGCGCTCTTGGGCGTCTTCGGGGCCTCTGGAGGCTTCCTTGATCATCTGCACGGCCCGCGTGGCCTGTCTTGGGCAATTTGGAAGCGGCCCGGGGCAGTCCCGGGGGGTCTGTGACCCCCCAAAGGTCCCGGGGGGCGCCCATGGAAGATGGCGGCACCGGCTGGGCCCCAACCCCGGGCCTACTCCGACAAAGATATATATATATATATATGTACTAGAACCACGCGCGCGCTTCGCGCGCGCTTAGGTTCTAGTCGACCCCATCCCTTGAGGAGGTCCCGTATCCACTGAAGTGATTACCCATTGATGGTGTAAGCATGAGGTACAAGAAGCATCCATAATGCTGGCCGAACAGAACCCAAGCACCGACAATGACATATGCTCCTTAATCCGCCGACCCTGTCGGCGTGTGTGAGGCGCTCTTCCGTTTGTCGTCGTCGGTGTCGTCGTCGCCGTCGCCGTCGTCGTTGTCGTCGTCGTCGTCGCCCTCGCCATCTTCCCCCTTTCCCCGGGCCCTCTTCTTCAACCGATCCAGCCAATACGAAATCGAATCGAACAACGAAGGGAAGCACCGTCCCTTGATCCCTTCCCCAGCGGGCGGGGGTGTCCCGGGGCAACTCCCCGGGGGTGGTCCCGGCGGGTGGTCTCGGGGGGTGGTCCTGGGGGGTGGTCCCGGGGGGTGCCCTGGGGCCCGTGGGGCTCCTGCTATTGTTTTGTCGATCCCGAATATGTGGCGGAGGGTGGGGGGCCCCCCCCAAGAACCGGGGGGAGAGAGCCTCTCCTCACTTACCCCCAGAGTCCCCGCTTTGCCCCCCCTTCCAAGCGTCCCATGCTCCCCTTGTTCACAGGAGGGAGCCCCCCCCCCCCCCACGGGCCAGTCCCCCCCTCCACAGGGGGGAGCGACCCCCCTTGGTCGTCGTCGTCGTCGTCGTCGCCGCCGTCGTCGTTCAGGGTCGGCGGCACCGGCAGTAAGGCCTCTCCAGTATTCAATTCGAAGCTATGCAAGCCAGTTTAGCCAAACACATGCAACGCTATGAATGCAATGCAAAGCAAAGGAAAGCGATGCTCATAAGTACAATGTGGATCACGAAACAATGCAATTGCACATGCAACGGAAAGCAGCCCAGTGGAATGCAATGGAATACAATGCCCAGTGGACAAGTACCGATCATGCGGATGGAAGCGAGACCTACGGCCCCAGATGAAGGCGGGGTTCACAGGGCGCCCCCCCGTCAATTTCGGCACGGCACTCGCACGGATCTTGTCCCCCTGGGAGCTCCTCTTTCGGGTCCAGGGACAAAGTTCGCACGGCGTCGCTCCGCCCATCTCGGCACACCCAACACACGAATCGTGCCCCAGAGGGATGTCGTTTCACGTACGGCCTCAGTGTGAGGATTCGCATAACGTCACGTCCACCCCCACGCGTATGTCGACTGTCTCCTCACACGAATCGTATCAACAGGGAGCTCCACCGACGGTTCCAGAGCCAACGTTCGCATCCAGCCGCCCCGCCCATAGCAGTGAATACACCCCTGACCTGGATCGTGAGTTCGGGGCGTCTTGGGTGCTTCTGTGGGCCACGCGGCATGTTTCTGTGAGGCCTCTGAAGCCCTGAGATGGATCGTGAATCGGGAGCCTCTTGAAGCCTTTTCTGGGAGCCTCGTGCAGGACGTCGAAGCGAGACCTCCCATACGCTTACGGGTGACTGACTACTGGAAAGCCTCCTGGGACCGTTTTGGGAGCGTTTTGGGAGTCTCTGGGGGCCTCTTGGGACCTTCTTGGGGGTCCTTTTGGGCTCTTTGGGGCTCTTTGGGGCCCTCGTGGCCCGTCCCGGGGCCCTCTTGGACCGTCTTGGGCGCTTGGGCCGTCTTGGGGCCCTCTTGGGGCCTTCTTGGGCCGTCGAGGGGGCCTTCTGTGGCCCTCTTGGGGCTCCCTGGGGACTCTTTTGGGAACCTCTGGGGCGCTGTTAGGGCCGAAGAAGCGAATATGCTAAAAACGTACGTTTTCCGAGAGGAATTTGGCTGTTTTTGCCTTTTGGTGACCTTCTGGGAGGCCTCTTGGGCCGTCTTGAGGGCCTCTGAGGCCAAAAACATAGATTTCCAGCTAGTTTGTGAAAGATTCGAATTTCTCGAGCACCTTTTCGGAAGCCTCTCAAGCACCCTTGGGGACCTCCTGGGCCGTCTTAAAGCGCTCTTGGGGTCCTCTTGGTGCGTCTTGGAGAGCTCTTGGGCCATCTGTAAACAATCTTGGGCGGATTTAGGGCTGCTCTGAGCCTCGGGGGCGGGTCCAGGAGGGCTCCTGGGAGGGGGGCACTACCTATGTTCAAGGGGGGGGGGCCCTGCGGGTCCCCGGGGTCGGAATCCCCCATATATGTATGTGTATATATATACACATATATGCACCTGTATGTATACATACGTATTGCACACAGACTTGACACAGCTACATACACAGATTCATATGCATACATGTATAAATTATCTATACACTGAGAGAGAGAGAGAGAGAGAGAGAGAGAGAGAGACCACACAGAGAGAAAGAGGGAGAGGGGAATGGATAGGGATATGGAGAGGTGGGGTACGTATGGGAGGATGATTGGGGGAGCGAAGCAGGGAGATTGCAGACCGGCACGAGAAAGACAGAGACCGCTGGGAGACGTGCCCTGGCCTTGCCCGACAGCAAGATGTGAACCAATCGCGCTTGTCCCAGCCTGGGGGAGGAGTTGGAACGCCAGTCGCCAGCACGGCTCAGGCGAGCAAGGGGAAGGAGATCGAGGATCGAGGGTACAGTCTGTTTCATGCTTCCGTGCCCTTTTGTGCCTCTGGAGGTCCAGAGGAATAGAGGCAGAGGAGGACGAAATTTCGGCGTTGCTTGGAGGGCGTCGGCGATCTTCGGAAGTTCCCAGTTGCCTTTCAAGCAATTTCAACGATTTCTGGGAAGAGATGAATGGGGAGAGGAAAATACGAGGGGGATGGTCGCTTCAGTTCCGCATCCTACAGCTAGTGTTCCTGCTCTTCCTCCAGTTCAGTCTCCTCCTCCTCCTCATCCTCGTCCAACTCCTGCTCTTGCTCCTTCCTCTCCCTGCTGGGACCCCTCCTCCTGTTTATGCTCCTGCGTATCCCCCTCCCACTTATCCTCTTTCGCCGTCACCTCGCGCTTGTGTCCAGCACGCAGGGGTCCGCAACGGACAGCACACCAAACGGAACGCTCACCGAACAGCACTCGTGAATGAACCCAGTTGGCCGAGACACAGGAGCC